GTTTCACACAAAGACGACAGTCGTGGAAAGGATGGGGGCGATAAAGGCGTGAAGACATCGGGGCAGGAGCAGCAGAAGCCGGGTGTGGGCATGACCAAGGATCCGACAGAGGAGGTCCAGGACCACAGCGGCGGCGCCGGGCCGTCCTCTCACAGCTCCAGCGGAGTGACGGGGAGCCTGAGGGACAGTCTGTCCCCGGAGACCTCGAGCCAGTCGAGCCACGATACGGCAGACGGTGGCTCCGGGATGCAGGTCGGATGGATGGGAGGGGGCGAGGGTGTGGTTGTGTAGGAGGAGGTCGTCAAGTAGAGCGTGTTGAGTCAGTGAGCTCCAATAAGTCGTCGTCTTCACTGCAATAAATCGATAATGAAAGCAGAGTAAAACTGCAGCTTTGTTTCCTCCCGCTGCGCCGAAACAGGACCGGCCTCACGTTTACATAATGATGATTTCTGCTTTAGACTATTCTGCACCAGCTCAAACTTCTTTAATGCGTCACGAACGGCACGTATCCAACGCATGTTTGTAAACACATGTAAACATGCTACTTCCTGTCCGTTTCAGTCAGACGTCGGATCAGCAACAGCTCTGTCCTCCAGGTCGCAGAAGATCGCCCAGGCCAAGTGGGAGTTCCTGTTCGGAAGCCAGAAGAGCCGCTGCAGTAAAGGTGACATGACCTTTGACCTCAGGTCCTACACCGTGGACCGAATCCGCATAAACTCTATCAGAAAGAAGCCGTTTCTGTCCTTGTCGGGTCCAGACTCGTGTTTATGTCAGCAGACACACGTTATTATAAACTCAGAGTTATTTTATTGCGTCCAGTCGTAGGACGACACGACGCTCCACCAACGCATCATCAATAATTCACTGAGTCAGCTGATTTCATCTCTTTAAGTTCAGCAGCAGCTTTCATGACTCAGAGTGTGAACTGGAATATTAAACAGGATGAGCACCTGGGCGGGTTAAACAGTTGTTGGAGGTCACCTGCTGACGGTGTTGGTGGGCTTTCTGTCTGCAGGTAAACACCAGTGCTGATGGCGGCTCTTTACTAATGACTGTTTATGAAGCTCAGACGTGTCAGCAGGTGTGTTTCTGCCATCATACTGTAAATGTTACAGCATATATAATTTAACAGCAGCCCTTAAGTGAAGCCACACCCACCTCTTAGATACCACAGCAGGTAAATACGACCTTACAGGCTTCGTGTTCTTCATGCTGGGACGGCTCATAGCGGTGCAGCAGCAGCTGATGACCTGCAGCCTGTTTGCAGCAGGTTAGAGGGCCGCTCTGTCTCTGCTGCTGTGGAGTAAACACGGAGCTCCCGGCGTTCCCGGCGTTCCCGGCGTCTTCTAAGCCAATTAGCCGAAGCTGCAGCTTAACGTGAGCTCAGAGGGGTTTTACAGAGAGTACAACTGTGCTCACAGGTGCTGCTGCACATCACCGCTTCCTGTTCTTTACGTTCTCACTTAAAACTGGGCGTCAACGACACAGAGTCTTAAAGTTTGTGCTGGCGCGCTCTGAGCTGCAGCTCCGATCGTGTCTCTGAGCTCAGAGGTCTTCTTCTGTCCTGTTTGTCCAACAGGTCGTTGTAGACAGTTTGATATTGATAAAGTCTCAACATGGGACACAGCTCATCTGGAGTCCTTCTGTGTATGAACTGATCCGATTTACAATAACTGTGTGTGATTTAATCCAGCGGTCTCCAACCTTTTTTGCGCCACGGACCGGTTTATGCCCGACAACATTTTCACAGACCGGCCTTTAAGGTGTCACGGATAAATACAACAAAATAAAACTAGTACCGGTACCGAAAAAAAGAAGATTTATTCATAACACACGTGAAAAGACCCAGGAAAACCGAGTTAACGATAAAAACGATAACAAAATAACGCTGAAAACCGATAAAAACCCTGAAAACTATACATTTCACACCTGAGCCTCAACTCTCGCGGCCCGGTACCAAACGACTCACGGACCGGTACCGGTGCGAGGCCCGGGGGTTGGGGACCGCTGATTTAATCAATGATCTAAACTGTCCTCTAATTTGTTTGCACTCGTACGTTTCTGTAGTGAAATATCAGAAACGGGTCCAAATCCAGGGTTTTAGTGCTGCTTCCTGTTAAACTTGATCCATCAACGTTTCATGAGGATATCTGCTGGACTCAAACAGCTTATCCTTCATCACCGATCGAGGAGCGCAGCAGCAACCCTGGGCTTTTTATATAAAAATATATAGCCATCCAGCAGGCGTATCATTAGGAACAGCTGCTTTTAACACTGATATTTACTCTTAACTTCAATAATTACTTCCTCCAAACCATCAACGTGTCTTTTAGACCCCATTCCTACAAAACTGCTCAAAGAAGTCCTGCCATTGATTAATTATTCGATCTTAAATATGATCAACTATCTCTAATAATCAGCTATGTACCACAGGCCTTCAAGCTGGCTGTAGTTAAACCTTTACTCAAAAAGCATCTCTAGACCAGCAGTCTTAGCTGATTACAGGCCAATCTCCAACCAGATCTCTGCCTCTTTTAAACAGCGTGTCTGTATCCTGTAACCGGGCTGAGGTGAGCGAAGGACGACCGGATACAGAAGCTCGTTCTGAGGCTACATCCAGTTAAAACGGCGTTTTTCCTTCCTGTCGCTAAGTGTTTGCTCGCATGGCGTTGTTGATTGTTGGGGTTTCTGTGTTGTTGCAGGTTTACAATATGAACAAGCTTTAAGATTTGGTGATAAACTGGATAAAAATAACAGAGAACTGGGGACCAATCAGAGTTTAGCTTCAACCCTTCGTACGACCTGTTTTGTGCTCTCTGACACGGCGTTATGAACATCTGCTTTTTCCTCCCGTAGACGCTCCGTCCACGACGCCTCCCACCAGCAGCTCGCCCAGTCCCACCCCACCCTCTTCCCTCCATCTGAAACCAGCCAATCAGAGGAGGGGGCGGGAAAGCGAGGGACAGAAGCTGTCTCATCACGAGGTCCAGCAGATCGAGGTGGAACTGGTGACCGCCGACCCTCGAGGCTCCTCCCCCAAGACTGGCATCATCCGGCGAACCCTGAAATACTCGGAGACGGACCTGGACGCCGTGCCTCTGCGCTGCTACCGTGAGACCGACCTGGACGAGGTGCGTGCGCCTCCACCTGTCTGCAGCTCACCTGCTTCCTTTTAAAACACGTCATCATCATCTCTTGTGTGGTGTAGGTGATGCGGGCGGAGGCAGCCGAGGAGGCGGACTCGGCCTTCGGGAGTAACCGCAGTGTCCTCGGAAACTCCACGTTTAACCCCGCTGACCCCTCCCCAAAATCTCGCCCAGGTGGAAGGAAGGAGGTTGATGGGGAGGAGGAGGAGGGAGACGAGGAAGATGAGGAAGAAGGAGGAGTGGTGAGCTGGGCCAGCGTCAGGATGCAGGGAGACCGGCAGAGACAGAAAGCCACGAGGGAGGAGGAGGAGGTGCTCAGCCTGCTGCTGAAGGGGTGAGAGGGCGAGGGGGCTGGGGGGGGCTGCAGGGGGGGAGCAGCTGTCAGAGTAACTGATTACTCAAAGACTTCAGCTCAGACTGTTGTTTTCAGGCTCATTTACACCTCGAACCCTCGAAGCTTTACTGAACTTTCTGCAGCTCTTTTATTCCAGTCTGCTGTCTGTTTGCTTGAGGCTCTGCACACGTCTGTGTTTATCTTCTGTTTGGGGAGGTCACCTGTTCCTGTTTATCGGCTGCGTTATAAACTTCATAAACGACGACTTTCATCAGGGTTTCTGCTCATGTTCAAAGCTCCGCCCCGCCTGCGTGTGATCACACAAGATGCTGCTGCACAGAATGAAGCATTTATTATCTCACAACCACAAAGTTCAGCTGTAAATCCTGGAAGAAGCTTCTCTCCTGTCAGATTAAACATAACAGTAAAGTCCTGACTTCCTGTATCTTACTGTTCTGGCCTATGACAGGCCACGTTTCAAAATGTCACGCGGCAGGCCGTTTCTGGCCCGCAGGCCGTCTGTTTGACCCCCTGCTTTATATTCAGAGCTGCAGCTGAGGAAGAAGGGCTGCCTGTGTCGAGGCAGTCGTCTCTCCTGCTCCTTTCATCCTCTGTGATGCACATGCGTGTGAACTGAGGCCGCGTGCAGACTTTTGCTCGCGCTCGGCTTTTTAAACTTTGACCCCAGTTTGGTCTGAGCGGACTCGGCGTGAGCGTCTGTGGAAGCCGGGGTTAAACACGCAGTCAGGCTTTAACACGGTTTCTTCTTCCTCAGGTCGCCCGAGTCCTCCGACACCCACGGGGGCCTCAAGTCTCCGATCTCCATCGGCAGCCC